ATAACCCTACAACCAAAAGAATTAGTAAGAGAACAACAAAAAAATCCCAGAGTAAGTAAAAAAAGGAAATAATAAAGATATGAGCAGAAATAAATGACAGATATATTAAATAATAATAATACAAAAGATCAATGAAACCAAGAGCTGGTTCTTTGAAAATATAAACAAGATTGATGAACCTATTGCCAGACTCATCAATAAACAGAGAGAGAGGACCAAAATAAATAAAATCAGAAATGAAAGAGGCAAAATAACAACTGAGACCATAGACATGCAAAGGATTATAAGAAAATACTCTGAACAAGTATATGCCAACAAACTGGACAACCTGAATGAAATGGACAAATTCCTGGAAAAATACAATCTTCCAAAACTCAATCAGGAAGAATCAGAAAACCTGAATAGGCCAATTAACAACCAATGACTGAATCAGTAATAATTTTTTTAAAAAAAAATCCCAGCAAACAAAAGACCTAGATCGAATGGCTTCATAGGTGAGTTTTAAGCAACATTCAAAGAAGAACTAACACCTACCCTCCTCAAACAATTCAAAAAAAAAAATCCAAGAGGAAGGAATACTTCCAAGCCCTTTAACGAGGTCAGTACTCTCCTAACTACAAAACCAGATAAGACACCACACAAAAAAAAAGAAGAAGAAAGAAAATTACAGGCCAATATCCCTGATGAATATAAATGTTAAATCCTCAACAAACATTAGCAAATCAGATCCTGCAATACATTAAAAATATCATACCCCATGACTAAGTGAGATTTATTCTGGGAATGCAAGACTGATACAATATTTGCAAATCGATAAATGTGATACATCACATAAATAAAATGAAGGATAAAAATCACATTATCATGTGAATAGGCAGAAAAAGCATTCAACAAAATCCAACACCTTTTTTTAAAAAAATATATTTTATTGATTTTTCACAGAGAGGAAGGGAGAGAGATAGAGAGAGTTAGAAACATCGATGACAGAGAAACATCGATCAGCTGCCTCTTGCACATCCCCCACCAGGGATGTGCCCGCAACCCAGGTACATGCCCTTGAACGGAATCGAACCCGGGACCTCTCAGTCCGCAGGCTGATGCTCTATCCACGGAGCCAAACTGGTTTCGGCCAACACCTTTTTTTAATAAAAAAATATATCTTAGCAAATTGGAAATAGAGGGATCATACCTCAACATATTAAAGGCCATATGTAACAAACCCACTGCCAACATCATACTCAATGGGCAAAAAACTAAAACCATTTCCTCTAGGAACAGGAATAAGATAGGGATATCCCCTTTCATTACCCTTATCCAACATAGTACTGGAAGTCCTAGCCACAGTGATTAAACAAGAAAAAAAAAAATCAAAGGCATCCAATCTTGAAAGGAGGAAGTAAAACTGCCATCATTTGCAGATGACATGATATTGTACATAGAAAACCATAAAGATTCCAACAAAAATCTACTAGATTTAATAAATAAACTCAGCAAAGTAGCAGGATATAAAGTCAACATCCAGAAATCTATGGCATTTTTATGCACTAGTAATGAACTCTCATTAGTTACCATTGCAACAACAACAAAAATATGATAACTTGGGATAAATTTAACCAAGGAGGTAAAAAACTTATACTCAGGAAACTATGGGACACTGAAAAAGAAAATACAGGAATATACAAACAAGTGGAAGCATATACCGTGATAATGGATTGGAAGAAGTAACATTATTAAAATGTCCATACTACCAAAACCAATCTATAGATTCATTGCAATTCCTATTAAAATACCAATGGCAAATTTCACAGGTCTAGAATAAATATTCCAAAAATTTATATGAAACCAATAAAGACCCTGAATAGCCACAACAATCTTGAGAAAGAAGAACAAAGTTGGAGGTATCACAATATCAGATTCAAACTACTACAAAGACATTTTAACCAAAATAGCCTGGTACTAACACTAGCACAAGAACAGGTATATAGATCAATGTAACAGAACAGAGAATCCAGAAAACGACCCACATCATTATGGTCAATTAAAATTTGACAAAGCAGGCAAAAGCATACAATGTGGTAAAAATAGTCTCTTCAATAAATGGTGCTGGGAAAATTGGACAGGTACATGCAACAAAATGAAACTAGATCATCAACTTACACCATACACAAGAATAAACTTAAAATGGATAAAAGACTTAAATGTAAGTCTCCAAACCATAAAAAAACCCTAGAACAAAACATAGAAAATAAAATCTCAGACATCTCATGTAGCCGAATTTTCACCTACTAGTATATCATCTCCTGGGTCAAGAGAAACAAAGGAAAAAAGGAAACAAATGGGACCACATCAAACTAACCAGCTGCTGCACAACAAAAGAAACCATCAGCAAAATGAAAAGGGAACCCACTGTATGGGAGAACATATTTGTCAATGACACGTCTGATAAGGGGTTAATTTCCAAAATATATAAAATATTTGTTACAGAAGATTGGAGAAGAATCAAGCAACACTTAGAGAGATGGAGTTATACTTTATTATTATTACGTGTGGGCCGAGAGAAAACTGTATTTCAAATTCTGGGCCCCAACATGGAGGAACTGTCCTTATTTATATCTTTTTACCTTCTTTGTCTCCCAAATATGATTTTTTTCTGGTCCCCTTTGCAAGTTCTTAAAGAGCCCTATGTGCTGGGGCTTTGAGACTTCAACCAAAGGCTTGGCCTGGCGCCAGCACTGATAACTTCGTCTGGGGAAGATTTATAGCCTCTCTGGAATGGGAGTAGTCTTATTTCCTTATTATTTAAGCAAGTAAGCATTTACAGAAGCCAAAATAGCAGAGTTAAAATTTCAAACAGCAGTTTTTATATAAGATGGATGCTTCAAACTCATACACTCAACAAAAGACGACCCAATTTTCAAAATATGCACAAGATCTGAATAGGCACTTCTCCCAAGTGGACATATAGGTGGACAATAGACTTATGAAAAAAACTAGAGGCCCAATGTGTGAAATTCATGAAAGGGGCTCGGTCTCCACTGCCACAGCAGCTGCCTCCTCTTCCTTGGCCCCTGCCTGCCACAGTGGCCACCTCAGCCCTCGCAGCCTGGCTTCATCCAGAAGTACATCCGGTCTAATTAGCATATTATGCTTTTATTATTATAGATGCTCAATGTCACAAATCATCAGAGAGATGCAAATTGAAACTACAATGAGATATCACCTCACACCTGCTAGAATGGCTACTATGAATAAATCAACAAACAACAAGTGTTGGTGAGGATGTGGAGAAAAAGGAACCATAGTACACTAGTGGTGGGAATGCAGACTGGTGCAGCCATTATGGAAACAGCATGGAAGTAACTAAAAAAATTATCAATGGAACTACCCTTTGACTCAGTGACTCTACTTCTGGGAATATATCCTAAGAGGCCTGAAACACCAATTAGAAATAATATATGCAACCCTATGATCATGGCAGCATTATCTATAATAGCTAAAATCCAGAAACAGCCAAAGTGCCTATCAGTAGAAGAGTGGATAAAAAAAAAAAAAAAACCTGTAGCACATTTATACAATGGAATACTATGTAGTTGGAAAAAAAATTATTTCTTACCCTTTGCAACAGCATGGGGATTATTATGCTGAGTGAAATCAGCCAGTTAGAGAAAGAAAAATAACACATGATCTTACTTATAAATGGAAACTAATGAACATAATAAACTCACGAACAAAATATGTCCAGAGTGCTGGAGGCATGGAATAGACTGACATATCTCAGGGGGGAGAGGCAGGGAAGATGGGAAGAGATTAACTAAAGAATTTATGTACCTATATGGATAATAAATAGTGTAGTGAAGGCCTGGTGGGACAGGGTTGGGGCATGGGGGGGGGCTTAATGGGGGCTGTTAATTGGGGGACATCTGTAATACTGTCAACAATAATTTAAAAAGAAAGAAAGAAAATCCTGCCACCCTCTGGCCTCAACATTCCCCTCTGTAGAATGAGGATCACCAAGGTACCTACCCCATGAGGACAACACGTTATGACACTTAAATTATCATCTGGATTCAGACTTGAGTTTAATCCTGGACTCTGCCTGTTCCCACTGAGGGATGCCTCAGTTTTCCCCTTTGGAAAGAGACAGAGTTCATTTGACACCCAGGGGACTGTTTTGAGACTCAGCTGCTTCCTATAATGACCCTCATTTGTTAAGCATGTGCTGTGTGCCAGGCCCTGGCTGTGCCTGCTCCATGTGCCTGTTTGCTCATCTGAGAGAAGGAGCTAATATATAGAAAGAATTGAACGAGAGACCATGGGTGGAGCTCCCTGTGCAGTGCCCCACTGTGCCCAATGCTAGAAGCCTGCAAGCTGTTGTGAGTCCTGCCCTTCCCAGTCCTGACATCACAGTGGTTACTGTTTACCATAAAGCATCCAGCACTGATCTTGCTCACAGCAGGTACTCAATGAATACACTTGAAGAAATTAAATAAACCTGGGCTCTAATCCTGGCTCTAGGGGCCCTGAACATGTCACATTATCCTGCTGAGCCATGGTTTGCTTATCTGAAAAATGGGCTTGCCATGGGCACTCAGCAGGTGCAACACCCAGTAGAACAGAAGAACTCAGTGGGATGACAATGTCCTTGCTCCCTGGCAGGTCAGCAGCTCAACTGCCCCTCAGAAGGTGACACCCCTCCCCCACCTATGACCTCACTCACGGAGTGGCCAGTGGAACCCTGAGGGGTCTGTTAGGTCACCCCATTCTGCTCCACAAAGACTCATCAGGCAACAGCCAGTGGCTTGTTTCTGTCCAAGGGACGGTTCAGAAACCCTAGGACTTGAGAGCCGTGGTTACGAAGAAGCTCCTGAGAAGGACACAGGATTGGGAGCCAAGGACACTCCAAGTGCTGACCCTGAGAGGCCAGAACCAGGGACAAAGGTCTTCTGGGCGTGCCGAGTATCATTCAGCTGTTCCAGGAGGCCCACCGCTGCCAGGCCACCATGGCCCTCGGCTGGCTACTGCTTCTTGTGTTGGCTCTGCCCCGGTTCACAACAGGTATCAAGGTATGCGAGTTCTGTGATATGATGAAGACCTCCACCTGTATCGGCATCAGCGTTCCCTGTGCCAATGATGACCATTGCTTCACGAGCTACGGGATAATCCCCGGCCTGGGTCCCATCATCAACAAAGGCTGCAAGTCACCCAGTTTATGTGGCTATGGTATAGAGTATGTCTTCTACAAGAATGTCACCTACAAGCTCAGCTCCAGCTGCTGCAAAAGTGAACTGTGTAACAGGGCCTACATCTCTGGCAGCCTGAAGTTGGAGGCCACCACTTGCCTGGTGGTGGGCATGCTGCTGCTGCATTATTGACTGTGACCAGCGTGGAGGGCAAGGTGTGGGACTGGTCTCTGGGCTCCTTGCTTCTTGTACCCCCTGTCTCCTGCTCCTTGTACCCCTGTCCCCTTCCCTTCCCCCATTAAATGGCCGGGCGCCCTAGACAACCCCTTGTGGTCCTGACTTCATCAACCACTGGTTGTCAACTGTATTTATCTTATTAGTTTCTGTTTTACTTTTACAAGCTCTTGATCTAATTCCAAAATTCTGGGAGTTTATCCTATTTTTCAAAGTATTTCCCTGAACAATACTACCTCCCCCTTAGGGTGTTACGTACACCTTGCTCCCAACTCTATTCAGAGAGTCAATGTTCACAGGTTTACCAGCCCAATACTGTCCACTGGTTGTTAGCATATTTGCGTGGAGTTTGCAGTGTTGCTGGCGTCATCTTCCCTAGAGAGAAAGCAGACTGAGTTCCAAGGGCACAGATCAAGTGATTGAAATGGCTCATGGATGCCTAATTATGCATTCGGGAGCTTTTCTCCTTTTCCCTTGTCATAGATAATGGGAGAATCTAAAGATCTGCTCCTGTCCAGAAATCTTTTGTTTTGTGGCCCCACAAAACTCCCTGAGGCCTGATTTAGTGGTGGGGACCAGGGGTGGGTTTGACTGTACTGAACTTCATTGGTTCTAAGATGCATTATCTTTTCACATTCTGATCAGGATGCTTCCTTTCATTGGTGGTACTTTCGAGTCAATAAGATATGGTAAAAATAATATTCATACCCTAGTGAAATAAGCCAGTCAAAGAAAGAAAAATAACACATGATCTCACTTATACATGGAATATAATGCACATAATAAACTCATGAACAAAATAGGTCCAGAGGCATGGAGGCATGGAATAGACTGACATATCTGAGGGGAGGGGCAATTTCTTTATGAAAAAAGAAAGTATCAGAACATATAATAAAGTTGAGCCATCATAGAGTAATGAAGTAGATTTGGAGTTGTATGGGTAATAGAATTGGTAGAGAAACTTTGTAGAGAGAGGAAGAAAGTTTTAGAAATGATAGATGAGAAGAAAATGGTGAGGAGCTAGTCTAGGGACACCATCAAGAAATAAATTAGCCCTAGCTGGTTTGGCTCAGCGGATAGAGCATCAGGCTGCAGACTGAAGGGTCCTTGGTTCAATTCTGACCAATGGCACATGCCCGGATTGAGGGCTCGATCCCTAGTGGGGGGTGTGCAGGAGGTAGCCAATCAATGATTCTCTCTCATCATTGATGTTTCTATTTCTCTCTCCCTCTCCTTTCCTCTCTGAAATCAATATATAAATATTTTTTAAAGAAATAAATTAAAAGATAGAAATAAATGTAAAATCTCATAACATGCTAATCTAGTTAGAGTTCATGATGGTATTTACAAGTGGAGAAATGATGGGAAGTTCTCTTATGTGGAATTTTTTTTTTTCAGGGTATAGCTCTTGGGTGGGCAAACTTTTTGACTCGAGGGCCACAATGGGTTCTTAAACTGGACCGGAGGGCTGGAACAAAAGCATGGATGGAGTGTTTGTGTGAACTAATATAAATTCAAAGTAAACATCATTACATAAAAGGGTACGGTCTTTTTTTTTTTTTTTTAGTTTTATTCATTTCAAATGGGCCAGATCCAGCCCGGGGGCTATAGTTTGCCCACGGCTGGTATAGCTGGTCTCTCTAAGTTGCTTATAGAAAACAGACCTGGTTTTTTAAAAAATTATGAGACATAGCATACTAGAAAAGGTCAATGCTAGCTATGTAATTATTATAGCATGCAATGGAGATGTTTATGACTGAAAGAACTCCCTTTGTGTAACTGATGTCTCACATGCATTACTTAGACAACTTATATGTAAACTAGAGGCCCAGTGCATGAATTCATGCACCAGTGGGGTCTCTTGGCCTGGCCTGGAGGATTGGGCCGAAACTAGCTCTCCAACATCCCCTGAGGGTTCCTGGATTATGAGAGGGCACAGGCCAAGGGACCCCACTGGTGCACGATCAGGGATGGTGAGGGACATGGGAGGTTGGCCAGCCAGGGAGGGACCACGGGAGGGCTCTAGGGCATGTCTGGCCTGTCTCACTCAGTCCTGATCAGCCATGCCCCAGCAGCAAGGTAACCTACCAGCTGGAGCGTCTGCCCGCTGGTGGTCAGTGCACATCCTAGCAACTGGTGAACCAGTCGTGTGTCTCCCCCCTGCTGGTTAGTGCATGTCATAGCAAGTGGTTGAGTAGCCTTACCATATCATTAGCATATTAAGCTTTGATTGGTTGAACAGCCAAGCGGACACTTAGCATATTAGGCTTTTATTATATAGGACTAGAGGCTCCGTGCACAAAACTCGTGCAACGGGAGGGGAACTCCCTTCACCTCGACCTGCACCCTCTTGCAATCCGGGACCGCTTGGGGAATGTCTGACTGCCAGTTTAGGCCCAGTCCTGCTGGGGATCGGGCCTAAACTGGCAGTCAGACATCCCTCTCGCAATCTGGGACTGCTGGCTCCTAACCGCTCACCTGCCTGCCTGCCTAATCGCCCCTAC